AAAAATGTGTACTTAGAAAAATGGCTTAGGCTTGCGAGACAGACGACAGGTTTACTTGGATACAAATTAAATATTATTATTAAATATAATATTATATTATATTTATATAGGAATAATATTATAATTAATATTATAATTAAATAAGAATATTATTGTTAAATAAGGAATAATATTATAATTAAATAAGAATAATATTATTATTAAATAAGGAACAGTTGTATGCAATAAAATACGTTTTGCGATTCAAAATCTAAATTGTGTAACTAATAATATATTTGCTCCTCCCTTCTCCTTATCTCCTCCTTTCTCTTCATCTCTGTTACTTTCTTTTCTCTCTTCTCCTCTTAATCTCCGTTGTGCTTCTTCCTCTCCATCACTCTCCATCTCCCTTCTCTCTCTTCTATCTCCTGCCTCTCTTCTTTCTCCTCTTTTTCTTTCTCCTTCTCCACCTTCCTCTCTCTCATTTGCTCTTGATTCACCGCTTCCTCCTTCTTCTGCTTTTCCTTTTCCTCTTCTAACCTTCTCTCTCTCTTCCATCTCTCTTCTCTATTTTTTCTTTCCTCCTTTCTCTCCATTATTTCCCTTATGTTTCTCAATTCTCCTTCCGTTCTTCTTAGGTGCTCTGTTATGTCTCTTCCTATTTCCCTTAACACCTCCGTCCAGTCCTTCGCTCCGCTTTCTTTTCCTCCTCCTGCCATCCTCTTCTCTTTCCTTTTCTGTCCCTCTTCCTATCTCTCTCTGTGCTACTCCTCCTTCGTCCTAATCATGTTTTTATACAATTATAATATTTATTTATAATATTTATTTATAATATTTTTTTTATAATATTTATTTGCGTGCGTTGATTAATACATAATTAACGATATACAACTCTGCTGTTGCAAATCGTATCAGTGAGTGATAAAGAAAGAAAAAATATAGAAAAAATATAGAAAAACGCGATTTCAAAACAGGCTATACTGTATTATACTTATGAAAAGTTTACCAAATTCTTTCCTCACAACA